GTATTCTCCTTCAAGGAAGTGAAGGAAAACGGGCACACCACGAGACCTTGAGGCACCGAAGGCGGTTACAGCCCTCTTTTGCCAGAAACCCATAATCCTGCCTTTATTTTCCCGGGCAGCGAGCTTGGGATTGGGTACCGGCCCGACGTGGGATGCTCACCAGGGCGTCGCCTTTGAAAAACTAAGCCTTAACGCTGAGACTCCCTCTTATTTCCCTCTAGGTCAATGTTGGGTGCGTGCCAAAGAAGGTAAGTGGGCTTTCGCCGCTGGCTCCAGCGGCGCCTTGGCCGTGGGTTGGGTCTGGCGTGGGTGCCCGCCGAATTGCGGGGAGGTGCTGGCGCGGGGCGTGGGGAGGAAGGAGCGGGAGGAGCGTATTGAGCCATCAAGATGCCGGGAAGCGCTCCGACCCGTCTCCCATGGGAGGCTCCGGGCAGAGGTGAGGCATCGGGAAGTGTGGCAGGAGTTTTCCCCAAATCAAACCGGTCGTCCCGAGCCGACTTGCGGTTTGTGCGGGCAGGTGATGTGGAATGCGGCGGTCCACGCAGAGTTTGTCCACGATCACGCCGACTACGGCTTCGAAACGCCCGGCGTCAAGTTCAACTGGAGGTAAGTATGGAAAGAGCCGGTTGGAAGCGAGGGTTTCCCGGCGAGTGTCCTGTGGGGAGCAGCCGCAGGTCAGCGCCGCGGCCCCGTGGCTCGTTGTCCACCCCGAAGGGGTCCCTGCCCACTTGGAGGCTTCCCGTGGATGGATGCTGAGCTGGTTACACGGCCGGGATTCCCGCTGTATTTTGGAAAGGCAAACCGCCCGCGGGAAGAGATTCCGGAAAAGAGGGGTGCGGGGAAGGCAGGCACAAAAACCTTGCGTCGGTGGGGAAGGCTGCTGCCTGCTGGGTAACTCGGGGCCATTTTATTTTGTGGCGTGGGTGCCACGTACCGAAGGGATTGAACTGTTTTTCACTGAGCTCTGTAGCTTCGTTGGCTCACGGTGACGATAAGCCCCCCGCTCTGTTCCAGAACGATTAAAGAGAAACGCGACGCTTACGTGAGGCGCCTGAACGAGATCTATGAGAATAACGTAAAGAAGGTGAGCACGCGTTTATCCCGCGAGCTGAGCAGGGAAGCAGGCTTCGCTGGATTTTTGGCCGCTTTTCCAGCCTTAACGGGTGTCCTCTTCTCTAACTGTACAAGCTCTGGCTCCGTTAGCTGGCTCGCACACCTCCTCCTGCTGTTAACCACTTAAGCGTTACTCCCCTAAGGCTCACATCGACATCATTCGGGGCTATGGCAAGTTCACCGCCGACCCCGAGCCTACCGTCGAAGTGGATGGGAAAAAGTACACGGCTCCTCACATCCTTATAGCCACGGGTGGGCGCCCGGCCGCCCCTCCCGACAGCGAAATTCCCGGTGAGCCTGACGGAATTCCCCGGGCTGCCTGGAGAGAGGTCTGCCAAAGCAAAGCAGGCTTTGGGAGGCGGAGGCGGGAAGGAGGGGCTGGCGAGGGGTGCGAAAGGGGCTCTGCTTTGCAGGTGCCAGCCTGGGGATGACCAGCGACGGCTTCTTTGAGCTGGAGGAGCTGCCCAGGTAAAGCGGGGCTCACTCTCCCGGCTGCCGCCGGCGGAGGCCCGACGCGCCTGCACATGGCATCGGCGTTTCTCCGCAGGCACAGCGTTATTGTCGGCGCCGGCTACATCGCGGTGGAAATCGCGGGGATCCTTTCCACGCTGGGCTCCAAGTCATCCCTGCTGATCCGCCAAGACAAGGTAGTGCCGCCGGCTGTCCCCAGCCGCGCTTCCCACCCGGCAGCTGCGTCCCAGTCTGCCGGGGGTTTCTGGTCATCAGCTGCCGTGAGCTGGTAAAGGAGGGTCCGAGTTGGCCCAGGCTCAGGAGGGTGGAAATGGCGATGCGGAGGACGGTGGCGTCAGGCTGTTGGGTGTAAGGAGGGGCTGGGTGGGGCAGACGGGGCGAGAAGAAGAACGTAGGTGTGCTGCCAGGAGGATTTCGGCAGCACCGACCCGCACGCCCGGCATTTCTGCAGCTGTGCGTGCCGCCGCACCCGTTTCCTTGAGCTTTATTTCAAGTCACAACTTGAAAAAAGAAAAACAAAAAAGGAAAAACGAGCAGAGGAGAACTTTGTCATTAACCAGAAGCGCCCCAAACCTCTCTGGGCTTGGATGGGGCATGGGCGCAGGGAAATGCCGGTGGAGGGGGCTGCCAGGCGGTGCCTTCCCCTGCAGACCCTCGTCTGATGATGCTGGCGGGTCCCTGCCCAGGTCCTGAGGACCTTCGACTCCATGATCAGCTCAAACTGCACCCAGGAGCTGGAGAACACCGGGGTGGATATCTGGAAGCACACGCAGGTACAGAGCAGCCCCGCAGCTTGTCCCATCCCTCCTGGAGAGGCAGGGCCAGGGGGAAAGCCGGCGTTTTGGGCGCCGCTTGATGGGCCGTGGCTTTGGCGGCATCCCTGGTTCTGCGGTGCGGCCGCCGTCGCCTGTTGCGAGGCAAAAGCCGTCGGCACCTTCTCCCCCTGAGGCTCCTGTTGTTCCCCGCAGGTCAAGACGGTCACCAAGTCCCCCCGGGGGCTGCTGGATGTGACGGTGTCCTCCTCGGTGCCTGGCCGCAAGCCAACGGAGGGAGTGATCCGGGACGTTGACTGCCTGCTGTGGGCCGTGGGGCGGGAGCCCAACACCGAGGAGCTGTGCCTGGACCAAGTGGTGAGATGGCAGCACGTCCCTTCCGTGCTGGTGCGAGGATGCCCGCGGGTCTCCGGGTGTCCCATGGGTCTCCGGGAGTCCCACGGGTCTCTGGGGGTCCCATAGGTTTCAAGGGGTCCAACAGGTCTCTGGGGGTCCCACAGGTCTCTAGGGTTTCCACGGGTCTCCAGGGGTCCCACGGGTCTCCGGGGGTCCCATGGGAGCCTGCCGTGGTGTTCCCACTGGTGTTCCCACCGTGCCCCGCCCCCCGCGGGGAACACGGTGGCCACTGGCAGGGGTCCCCTGTGGGCATCGCTTGTCCCATCCCTCCCGGGGTGGTTGCTGTTTCCCATGGCAGGGGGTGCAGGTAGACGCCAAGGGCCATGTGGTGGTGGACGAGTACCAGAACACCACCAGGAGAGGGGTCTATGCCGTCGGGGATGTCTGCGGGAGAGCCCTCCTCACCCCAGGTACCGCGGCCGTGCCCCCCGCCCCAGCCCCTCAGTGCCGCGCTGTGCCGCAGCTCAAGGCTCCCCGTCCCTCCCCGCAGTGGCCATCGCGGCCGGCAGAAAGCTGGCCCACAGGCTCTTCGAGGGCAAGCAGGACTCCCGGCTGGATTACCGTGACATCCCCACCGTCGTCTTCAGCCACCCGCCCATCGGCACCGTGGGCCTCACCGAAGGTGGGGACGGGCAGGGCGCGGGGGGCGCGAAGAGGCTGGGGACGTTGTGGCTCAGAGCTGCTGGTTTGATGCTTGAGGAAACGATCGGATCTCTGGCAAGCCGTCCGAGTCTTGCAAAATGTGCTTTGAGTCCCTCTTTATAAATGCCTCGTGTATACGGGGCATCCCCTTGACCTACGTGCTGTGTCTTCTGCTGCAGACGAAGCCGTGGCCACGCACGGGAGGGAGAACGTGAAGATCTACAGCACGTCCTTCATGCCCTTGTACCACGCTGTCACCCAGAGGAAGGTTAAGTGCGTCATGAAGCTGGTGTGTGCTGGCAAGGAGGAGAAGGTGGGTGGAGGGGACCAGGGGGGACAGCTGGGCGCTGCAGCGGGGTGGCGGGGACCACGGCTGGCTGTCCTCTTGTCCCCGCGTGGTCGGCTCTGACCTGCTCAGACCGGGTCTTGGGCTGGGATCCAGCTCCCCCAGCGCCAAGCCCGGTGTTCAGCCTGGATTTCACCGGTGCTGGGTCCCATCCGGCCTCTTGCTTCTTCCCCGAAGGTGGTGGGATTGCACATGCAAGGGCTGGGCTGCGACGAAATGCTGCAGGGCTTTGCCGTGGCCATCAAAATGGGGGCTACCAAGGCCGACCTGGACAACACCGTCGCCATTCACCCCACTTCTGCCGAAGAGCTGGTGACGCTGCGCTGAGGCGGTGGGCACGGGCAGCCCCGGGGACAGCAGCTGC